CCCACACACACACACACACACACACACACACACACACACACACACACCACAACACAACACAACACACACACACACACACACACAGCTGCAAACCTTGAACTGATGAAACTAAATGCCAAGATGTGAAATGCTCTGCAAAGGACAACATTAATCAGAGGAGCAGAGCAGGTGGGGTGATGTTACAGAGAAACACTGAGGAATCGTTGTCTCTTGACATTTTACCTTTTTATTTAATTTGTTTAAGAACAAAGATTTGCTCTTCCTTATATCCCTGTCAAATTTGCACATCAAGCAAATAAGAAACAACAAATGTGCCATTCATGAACACGTGGAAAGTTGTGGGCTTTCATATGTGGCATGTTAAACATTCAGTGTTTGCATCGATGGCCTGTTTGACCAGGATGCAGGAAGAACAGGTTGTTTAACAGCTGCTCTCCTCCACTCCCTGACTGCTCTGCTTTGTGCTTTCTGATGCGATGGTAAATCTTTCTGCAGGAATGACACTGACTATTCTACATCGAGCAGACTGACTGTGCTCATACGAGGAAATGTTTCTAGCAGATATTTTGTAACAGTGTCAACTTTTATTTTTGTAACTTTTTTTTTATTTTTTACTTTTTTGGTAGCAAACTCCTGCTTGCCCTGGCAAGAATGAATTTGACTAAACATTTACCATGACAGAGTTCTTCCGGTTACTAAAGAGTCTTGCATCCTTTGAGGCACATCATCCAAAAACAATGTGTTGTTATGCACAAAGGACATAGTCTCCTTACCAAACATTTAAAAAAGGCACTCAAAGGTAAAAATCTCTGGTAAAATTTGTGAATAAACAAGCCCAAAACACTCGTTTAATCCACAATAAAAAAAGAGTAAACTTGAATTTCTTTCTCGAGTCAACAGCTAAAACCTACACCCAAAAAATATTGCCATCCATCGTCAGTACCGTATTTTTCGGACTATAAGGCGCACTTAAAATCCTTTAATTTTCTCAAAAATCAACAGCGAGTCTTATAATCAGATGCACCTTATGTGTTAATTCTGGTTGTGCTTACTGACCTCAAACCGATTTTATGTGGTTAATGTGAATAAGTTAAATAAAGTTTGATGTATGTGTTTTGTTTTGCTTAATGCACCTTATAATCCGGTGTGCTTTATGTATGAAAACAGACCCGTTCATTGATATTGCGCCTTATAATCCGGTGCGCCTTACAGTCTGAAAAATATGGCATGCAAAAAAACCCAAAAAAAACAGCAATTTGAAAATTGTACATGTTGTTTGTGTGGAACCATCTCCACCACATGTAACATTAAGGGTGGTGACACATAAAAATAATCCTGATTCTGCTGAATCTGAAGGAAAAATCCAGATGTTTTTGTTTTAAGAACTTAGGACAAACCAGCAAAACTGATCTGGATCAAACTGGGACAGGAAGATGCATTTAAGTCAATGTAATTGTTTAGATCAGGGATATTCAACTGGCGGCCCGGGGGCCAAATCAGGCCCACGGGTGTGCTCAGTTTGGCCCAGTGAGTTAATTTTTAAATAAAACTCTATTTTAAATTGTAAAACAAGCTTACTTAATGAGAATAACTGCTGGATGTCTGGCCCCTGAACTCTTGGCTTTCAGAAACTGTGGCCCCTGAGCAATTTAGTTGAATAGCCCTGGCCTAGATCTTTTAAAGTGGAATTCCCAAACAGGTCATGAACAGTTAATGTCTTACCTGCTGCAGATAGCTCTTTGAACTGTGCCACTTTGGGGAAATACAGCTTATTGTTCTGGCTGCATTAATGAGCTAAGAGCTGGTCTGAAAGAAGCTAAGACCAAGAGGACCTCAAAAACGCCACACAAACGTTATTTATAAAGTCCAACAAAGTTAGGTCAGGGCCTCTGGACAACCTGTTTTGTCTTTCATCCAAAGGACTTCATCAGTCCAAGGAGCTGTAACAAACTCAGTCTTATAAATAGCACCTTTTAATTGGGGGTTAACCAGTTTATAAGACTTTTATAAGAAGTTTATAAGACTGAGTTTGTTGTGGCTCCTCGGACTGATGAAGTCCTTTGGATGAAAGACGAAATGTTTCAACAAAAAGTAACCATCCAGAGGACCTGACTTAACTTTGTTGGATTTTTCTACCTGGATTATTGAGCATGAATCAGGACTATTTAGAATACTCTACAGTTTACAATAATCTAACATGACATGTTTTTTCAGTTCTAGCTCTATTTTTTTTTCTTATTCTTTTGCCCATTTGTTGTTATTTTCTTTCAAGCTTTTATTCTTACTTGCTTGGGTCTATCTGATTTTATTGGAGCTTATTTGTTGTAAGCCACCCTCCCTGTAAAATAGGTTTTACAAGGTATAAATGTGACCCATCACCCCATCAGTGACAGTAAGGAAGTTTTCAATATTGACCTTTTTATTTTAATATTCTCCATCTTAAAAACTTCAAAATGATGCTTGAAATTAGGTGATTTATCACCTAATTATCAGCTTTTATACGAGTTTGAAGACATTTTTTTTTTTTATTGGTCTGAAATAATGTCATCAGTAATTCCAGCCATATATTTTTAATAGGGGAATTCTCAAGCTTTACAATATCTTACATTATATGAAGGGATCTACCAGCACAGCGGCAGCCAGAAGAAGCAAATAGCCAACTTTAAAGAACATTAAAAGAATAAGTTTTTTTTTTAAAGAGAGAGAATGTTTAGTAAACTTGGATTTAGAGTTAGTTTAGGAAGATTATATGCTCTTATAGTTACTGGGATCACTAAATGCTGTTTTTATAGACTTGTTTCTTTGCTAGACTTTTTATGGTCATTTTTTTGTCCTTCAGCCTGAGAGCATTCTGACTCATTTCACCAGCGTGGATCACAAATAAAGTATTAATTATTTATTCACACTGAATTCCACCTGAAAGAGTAAACAGCAGTAGTAGCAGCTAGCTGTAGCACTGTAGCTCGAGTTTATTTTTGGCAGAAATATCTTGATATTTACTGTGTAATGAAACTGTTAGCACTGTTTTAAGATGGCAGAAACCAATTAGAGCTTGGTCTCATATAGCTGTTAGTTAGCTCTATTTCTCTAAAATGAGGTAATTCATAGCTATCTGCAACAGGTAAGATATTAATTGCTTATAAACGTCAACACAAAATCTCGCTTCCGAGGATCAGAAGTATGCCTTAAATGCTTTTGGGCTTGTCAAAACGATCTTCTAAAAGTGTTTGAAAACAGAAAAGGTGGGTGCGCAGGAACTTGCAGCCCTCAATGAGCAAATCCTCCTTCATCGTCTGCTCTTGGATATGCAAAAACAGATTTGTGTGATCTCTTTGGAAGCCTAGGATGGACACCAGGATCCTTGTGTCCATGTGAGTGCACCCGTTGGCCCCCAGATGAAGTGTTGCACAGCATGAAACAAGTTGTAGTGCACGATGAGGTCCCTGCTTTTGGTTCTTCCTATTTAAGGGCCGCTGCTTTCTGCTCCTTTTGTTTGGGGGGCTATGCCTTTTTCTCCTCCTGCTTGGGGGGTTCTGCTTTTTTCTCCTCCTGCTTGGGGGGCTCTGCTTTTTTCTCCTCCTGCTTGGGAGGCTCTGCTTTTTTCTCCTCCTGCTTGGGGGGCTCTGCTTTTACCTCCTCCTGCTTGGGAGGCTCCGCCTTTTGCGCCTCTTCTTTAGGCTTGGGTTCATCTTTAATGCCACACATAGTCCTTTAAAAGAAAAGTGTAAAAACAAATTATTAAGTGAATTTTTAATAAATTAATTCTGCAGATCTTATTGGGAGGTGGTGGTGGTGGGGGGGGGGGGGGGGGTGCTTACTTTACTGGGTCTGGGGTTTCTTTCAAGAAGTTGCACACTGGGCTCAGATTAGCCAGTTGCTTTTTCAACGCATCTATTTCTTTCCTCTGTTCAGCCATCTCCTTCTCCGACTCATCTGTAAGCGTCATCGTCACATTATGAATTGTGCCACTAATGAAAGTCAAGTTAAATCGGGACTTTCACTTTTTTTTAAATTTTTTTTTAACAAACTGCAATAGGACTTGACAAAATAAGAAGTTAAATGTTCTGCTCCATTCACTCGCGCCGCCCTTTCTGAAATCAAGATCTGTGAAGTATCACTTACCTTTAACATTGTGTAAATCTGTCTCCGACGCTGCCATCTGATCTGTGCCAGTTTTCTGCAAACAAATATTAGAGTTTCAGAAGAAGCAAAAAAAAAACTGGCTTCTTCGATTCCTTTTGAAATCACTGACACAGATTTTTCATGTCAAAGATAAATACAGAGCCTTATTGTCTAACCAGGAGGCACAACACTTTAGATTATTTCAGGGTGGTCCTTAGGTGACATTAACTTTTATTATCTCAACCTCAATTAGGTCAGCTGAGAAAATAGAAAAAAGACTTTTTCTTAATGGAAGTTTGTGCTTGCTCACTCATCATGCCCTGCTCCAACCAAACGAGCTGGATTTTCTGGTTGGTGCTGATGAACAGTAAAACACATTCCACAAGAACATGACTCTGGCAAGATGGAAAGACCAACTCGGTGAAGGAACGCTTCAGGTAGTTTTATTTAATATTAGGAACAAGCAAAGACGTCCAAAGAATATTCCATATTTAATAATTCACACTTAAGTCAAATCTCAAGGGAATGGAGGTTAGCATAAACAGAAACTATTTTTTTTAAAGTTGGTTCCTGCAGAATATGAACATTTTAATACTAATAAATGAAGACGAAGTTAGTCAAACAGCAAAATATAGTTAGATAATACAATATACAAATAACATACACGATAAATATCAAACCTGATGCAGACAGATCGGTACAGATGATGATACAGATGCACCAATACTTGTTATAAAGCTGTTATAAAGTTATCAAAGAAATATTTACTGAACTGTGTTTGAGAAGATGTTTGCTGTTTCAATAAGATAATCATTTGTGGGGAGGACAAAATGTCTTTTGACATGAGTTAAACTTTGTTATATGAAAAAAAAGCCTCATTAGAAAGTTTATTTTCCTTTATTTTGAGTCTCATTTGCTAAAGAACGCATCTGAAAAAAGTAAATATTTGTTTAATCCAAGTGAAAGCTGCAAATTGACTAATTCCTCAAAGAGCTCTGATGTAAAAGAGAGATGTTTAAAAACAAGGCAGAAAAAAATGACTTTATTATGTTTTTGTTGCACTTAAGACAGATAATAAAAGAATAAGAATAAAAAGGAGCCTAATAAATAAATCTAAACAACTACAAATAATTTTAAACCGTGTGTGCGCAAACATTTCCGCACCTTGGCACCCAGGCAGATGTCCGCGTCCACCTGCGTCTTCTCAGCTTTGGTCCGGAGCATGTTCACCTCCTCCTCCATGTTCTTCAGCTCTCTCTGAGTCTTCTCTATCTGCTGCTGCCTCTCGGCCTCGTCGTTCTGGTACTCCTGCATCACGTCGTTGGTCACGCGCATCTTGATGTCCTGGAACCTGCTCAGTTTTTCCTGCTTCTCGAACTCCATTCTCCGGATTTTGATGAAGCCCACCAAAAGAACCGACGTGAGTAGGCTGAGGGGTAACACCAGCTGCACCTTCATCCTGAAGCTCGCCTTTTCCCTGCAGGTGTCACAGCCGGGTGCCTTTAGTTCCGCGCGCGCAGTGTGTGTTACACCGCGGCTCACCTTTGCGCCTTTACGCAGCGCCTTTCGCACTTTTCTATTGGACCTGCGCTGGATGGGAGTCAGAACGCCCTCTTCCTGGTTCAGAAACAGGAACAACACACACCTGTCACGTCAACTAATAACTGCTTTATATTCAGTTTGCAAAGTTGATCACATCTTTGTTTGAATAAAAAAACAACTTTTCTTTTCAAATAAAATTATATGAAGGAAAAAAGTGAAATAAGAATTCCCATAATTTAAAGTTCCTCATTGTACAACACGTGTGATTATAATGGTTTTACAAACCCTGTCGGTAAATTCAGGATGATCCGGTTGAAAACATACAACGGGTTTACATGAATCCCAATAGGCCAGAGCCATGCAGGAGCCACCAGGAAACAGGTGACTTGTCCCGCCCAGCCTGTCTGACAAGTCCAACAGGTTGCAGGAGGGACAGAAGTCAAGGTGAGACGCGAGAAAACTTCCCGGGATGAACAAGTGATCATATGCCTTCTGCATCGCTCCAAATCTCCCCCACCTTTCAGACTCATTTATTAGTCGGTCAAAGATGAAGCTGCTGATTTTCTTCACCGTCGTGAGCGTGTCCGTGTTGGCCGTGATGATTTTCCAGGCGCTGCGCCAGGAGCTGAACCTGCGCGACATGCGCGAGCGCATGGTGCAGAGCTCCATGGAGATGAAGAGGAAGGAGGACTCGGTGGTGGAGATGAAAAGCAAAATCATGGAGCTGAAGGGCTCGCTCGAGGCCGCCAACTCCAAGCTGGAGGAGCTGAAGAAGAAGAAGGAGGAGGCGGATAAGTCGGGGCAGGAGGTGGATAAGATCCTGGAGAGCTGTAACGGAGAGAAGGCAAGGAGCGCGCACTCTCCGTGAACAAGGATGCAGCACTGTTCTCATGCGTTTGATCAGTTCTGTGTGAGCTTATAATAAATAACAAATCATTTCACCTGCAGGCCAGCACCGAGAAGAGGAAGGCAGAACTGGAAGAAGCCATAAGTAAACTCAAAGGTAACCAGATCAATAATTTTATCTGCTCTCTGATTGGATGTTTTTCTCCTTTAGCTGCTTTATTGTCCTCAAACTTCTAAGGAGCATACATGTAAATTAACTAGAGGTCATGTTTCTGCTGCCACTCTTCAGCTGACCATGAAGAGGCTAAGAACAAAGCTCAGGAGGACATTCAAAGCTTGAAACAACAGATTTTGGACCGAGACAAAACCATTTGTGCCTTTGCAGATATGTCCAAGCCGGAAGCACGGTAAGACAGGTGAAGAGTGAAAGGAGTGACCAGGCCTGAACAGACGAGCACTAACCAGACACATCTCTTCTTCTTCCAACAGGAAGTTGTGTGGACAGGGTGATGAACCAAAATGAAGTCACTCGGTCTTTGAGAAGCTTTTACAGAACCAAGTACACCGTTGAAGAAGAGCCATGTATGTTTTTGTAACTTCACTCTTGTGATTTTTAACAAGACTGCAAAAAAAAAACAACGTGTTGAATGTGGGTCAAAGGGTTACAGAAGCAGAAAGATGGCTGTATAGTTTGTATTTTTTGTACCAGTTTTTGTTTACTTAACATTAAATTTGGCCTTTTTAAACATTTAAACAAATGTTTGATATTTAGGTGTCCCTGGACTTTTAATTTATGGAACTGGGCTGATAAGCTCACTGACTGTTCTCTATTCATTTAGAGACTCTCTAAAGACAATTTTGGATCATAATCAACATAGTAGACATTGTTTTGTGTCTGTGTGTGAATATTAGACCCTAGATAGTCTTGTTTGTTAAATCAGGAAAACCTGCCAAGCTGCAAAGTATTTTAACTCCCCCTAGTGACTAAGTAGAAGATTTGAGATCCTTCAAGTCCACTTATTAAGTCTTCTGGAGGAAAAACACGTTGCTTGACTTTTGAGTGAATTGTTACAAGAATGCTGTTTAGTGCTAGTCTTCGTTTAATCTGATGCCTTTCATGTGTAGAAAATGTCTGATAAAACCTTATATTTTCTAATGAACATTGGATTAAATGGTAGTAAAAAGACTATTTTAGTTCCTTGTGAAATGTCTTGTTGGTTCTTATGGATGAATGTTTAAAAACCTGAATTCTAATTGGCGTAAAAGATTTATTTTATTGCCCACAGAAAATAGTTTTTGTATTTTATGTTTGTGCCTCAAAGTTAGGATGCAGTTGCTCACATAAAAATAAAAAAGTTGTTCAGTTTCACCTATCAGTATATTGCTCTGCTGACACTGACACACATGAAACTTAATGATTCAAGACAATCAATCATGCAATTTTCACCATGATCTTTAAATCACTTCTTGGTCTGTTACCATACCATACCATTTTATAGAGCACTTAACACAGCAACAAGGCCAACCAAAGTGCTGTACAGCAGAAACAAAACAAGCAAAGCGCACAGTAAAATATACATAGATCCAAAAGGAAAAAGATAATAACAAATGGTTAACATTGTAGAATACAGAAAGGTTAAAAACAAATTACACTGTCTCAAAAGCCAGGGAATAAAAGTGGGTTTTTAAGTGAGACTTCAAAACCGTGAGGGAGGGGTCTGTCTGACATGCAGTGGTAACTCATTCCACAGTCTTGGACCTGCAACAGAGAAGGCCCTGTCACCTCTGAGTTTAAGATGGGTTCCTGGAACCAATAGATGCATCTGGTCTGCTGACCTGAGAGAGCACTGTGGGACATATGGCTGCAGCAGATCAGCGAGGTAAGAGGGGGCAGAACTGTTCAGAGTTTTAAAAACATACAGGAGTATTTTGAACTGAATTCGAAAGTGAACCGGTAACCAGTGCAGGGAGGCCAAAACTGGTGTAATGTGCTCTCTTTTGCCTGTACCAGTTAAAAATCAGGTTGCAGCATTTTGGACCAGTTGTAAACATGCAATGGAGGTCTAACTGATTCCAAACAGAAGTGCATTGCAGTAATCAAACCTGGATGTTACGAACACGTAATACGCTCTCAAGATTATTTTTGGACAGTATATGGGCTTCAGCTTAGACGGTCGCCTCAATTGAAAAAAAAAACAGGATTTAACAATCATGTTTATATGATTGTTAAGTTCCATGATCACTCCCAGATTAGTGACTCTTTGTTTCTCTAACCGGGTTAGAGAGGAAAGGTCGATGCAGTCTTGATTGTTCTATCAGGAGGGAACAACATGACTTCAGACTTCTTCTCATTAAAACGTAGAAATTTAAAGCCATCCAGTCCTTGATGTCGGCCAGGCAGTCAAGAAGAGGTTGAATAGAATGTGCACAGGTGTGCTTCAGAGGGAAGGAGATTCGACAGTTACCTTTATACATTTTATGTTACTGCGTGGGTGAGTGCAGCTACAGCGTGCGCTCTCAGGACATGCAGTGTTCCCTCATTGCAGACCAGGCAAAAGGGCCTTCTCCTACTCTGCTCCTGTTTCCTGGAATATCTTGCAAAAAGATCTGAAGCCCTCGAACTTGACCTCTCTAAGTGACTTTAAACATCTGCTAAGTTCCTGGCAAAAACCAATGCAGACATGTTCCTGTTTTTAGTTTTCTACATCACCTTACAACCTAGATTTTTTTTGTTTCATTTTTTAATACCATTTTCTTTCACTTGTTTTTCTCAGTTTGTATGCTTCCTTTTATGATTGCCTACTGTTGTAATCACTCTGTCAAAATCAGGTCTCTCTTGTAAATGAGTCCCCGAGGCTCAATGGGATTAACCTGTATAAATAAAGCTTGAATGAATAGCTAGTCCATGTTTTATCTCGTTGTTCGTTTTCCCTCTGTGTTATAGAAACAATCAACCGTTGATGAAATATGAGCCAAAATCAAAATTTGGCAGTCAAATCGCGTTTTATTGGCAATTAAAGAACATTTTTTACAGTTCAAATTACTACATGAGGTATAACGTTCTGAATATAGTCCCTGTGAATGAAACAAATATATTCTAAGGCAAAAATCCTGTTTCAGTGTTAAAATAAGTTCTTCACTGTCAGAAAATGACCCACGATCACACCTGTCAACATATTTCCGCCTGTTGCAGCAGAAAAGGAAGAATGTGGTTGCCGTGACAACACTAGCCTTCTAGCCAATCCTAAGGCACATTCAGTGTCACGTGACTTTACGCGATCGACGCGTGGCTGACGTTTCAGGAAGTAGACACCGCGACACATGAAAGTCACCGGTAAAATCACGCAATGAGACGCGCATAGGGTTGTTTTAATTTTCCGAAGCAGCCGAGCTAAAAAGAAAATGTGTTAAATATGTTTAAGGAGCCGAACTAAAAAGAAAATATGTTCAACATGTTTAAGAAATATGTTTTAGCTGCTTGCTTTTTACTGAAGCCGCAGTAGTTTGTTAGGGGTGGTAGTTACGAGGCGTTTAACCAGTTTCCCCGTATTTTCCCGACAAACAGCATATTTCTGTCCAGTTTGTAAACAGCTTACAGATGGCAAAGAACCTCGCTCGATTGTTCGGGTTGTTGTCATCCACGAAGACTGAGCTGAGCCGTCGGTGTGCCCGGGTTTTATTCAGGACCACACTGAACCGGACCGTGATGCTGGTAGGTTGAACACTGTGTTCTGACTAAGCTTGGAAGGACTGGGCTCATCATTATGGGCCTCATCCTGTTCCCATTGGTTCCAGGGATCTCTCACTTTTTTGCTTTCTGCACAGGATACAAACAGAGGTACCACTTTACAGCTTGACAGCCCTTAAGAACTTATTAATATTTTATAATTAGGTCTGTTAAAGACTATGGACACTTTATAAATTGTGTTCTTTTCATCAGATAATGCAAGTTCAGTTTTTGTCCAGATCAAGTGCTACAATATTAATTATCCTAGCATATTTGCTGGTGATTTAAAAAAAAAAAAAAGGTTTGGCGAGAAACTGGTCACTATTCTTTTTGTCTAACCACTTTTTTTTCTCGGTTAGAAATTGTTTACATCCTAATCAATAACCAGATTTATACCTATACTTATTTATACCTAACTACTCAAATATAAGTGTGTAGCTAACATAGTACCAGTGGTAACAAAGTTCATGCTCAAGCAAGTTGGAATTGGTCACAGTCAAGATGATAATGCATAAAATATGTTTTGATTAATTGTTAAAAAAAAGTCTTTGTTTTTTCCTACTGCACCTAAAGGCTTAAAAAACAAACAAACCCAGAAGTGTTAAATTACACGTCTAAAATAAACATCTGCATTTCGCCTAACAAGGTTAAGTTAGATCCTCCGGTTGGATTCTTCTAGGTTGAAACGTTTCATCTTTTATTCAAAGGACTTCTTCAGTCTGAGAACTGACTGATGAAGCCTTTTGGATAAAAGACAAATTGTTTCAATAAAGAAGAATCTGTCCAGAGGGCCTGACTTAACCTAGTTAGATGTATCTACCTGGATTATTGAGCATGCATCAGGACATCCCCATTTGTTTGCTTCCTGTTATCCATGCCACAGAGGCAACAGGTCCAGGAGAGAAACCCAGACATCCCTCTCTTCAAGTCATTTTCAGGCCTGAGAGGATGCATAATCCCTCTGAGTTCTGGATTTGCCCTGGGGCTTTTTTTACTACCTGGAAAACTTCCAGAGGGAGACGTTCAGGAGGTTAGATGTCTGAATCACTGGGACGAGACTCCGGGGTAGACCCAGATCTGTTTCACGTGCAGCTGCAAACTCCTTCAGTACTGTACACGCTGACTGTCGTGGCCTGACAAATAGAACCACGTCATCTGCGATATGCAGAGACAAGATTCCCCCTTTTGGGACGTTTGTTAATCTTTCAATTTGTTTACCTACTACTTCTATATCTTATGTCTCAAAACATGCATTGGACACTAACTACAAGGTTATATTTTCTTTTCTTTGTCAGAGAGCAGTGCCATCAATTCTTTCTCCCAAACCTCGGGACTTCAGCCTGCCGAACCCTTCGTGGGGCGAAGAGATGATGCGGTTGTACAACTATTATAACAGCCAAAGTGAGGAGGAGACGGGGGGAGAAGAGGAGCAGGGGGGCCAGTGGACGAGACTGCCGAGCTATAATCGGTCTCTCAAGTATGCAATAGGTACAAAAGTTGATGATGGTGCATTTTTTTTTAGACATTCTTCTGTTTGAGCAATGTTGACAGCTCAGTTTGGATATTTTGTGGGATCAGACTAACCGTTAAGTGAACGTGAAGTCCTAACATGTTTTTTAAATGACTCATAGAATTCATGACAACATATACAATCCAATTATCTGAGAAAATGTTAAAATTGTGTGCGTCCTTGTGTTGCTTTTTCAGTTACACTTGAGACACTAAACGAAAGGTTGCACTGCATGGATAAAAGCTGTCTTTTCTAAAGTTTGCCTCCAAAATGAACATACATACCTTTAATTTAAAGATGAGTCTTGAATCTTTGCTGTATCTGGATGAATATATGATTATTTTGAACCTGGCACGTGTGTGCGCATGCTTTTGTTTCTCCTTATCAGGCGGAGTTTATCTAAGCAAGATAATCCAGTCAAAAGCTCGTCTTTTTACCAGAAACATCAGACAGACCGGATCAGCGTTTGAGTACGTTGTCTTCTTTACCAAAGACAAACAGAAGTGTGTGTGCATTTTCCAAGCTGGACACCTGCTTGAGGGGCCTCCGGGGTAAGATATCAAGCGTACAGAACTGTGCAAAAGTTTTAATCTGCCTCCATTTTATTTGTCCTTTGCTTCCAGTGAGTCAGGCCTCCTTGTAATCAAAGTCTTTCAAAGTTTTTCTTGAAACTTTGGCTGCTTTCTCACCTATTTTCTGTCCAGCTGTTGTACATGACCATGACAGCATGTTGTCTAGTTTATGTGCTTACAAAATTAGGAACGTGGACAAGTGGAGGACAAGAAAGGAAGTGTAGTCCTAAAACACTGTCTGCATCACACAAACAGTATCTGAAAGTCAGGTCCTTGAGAATTAAAGAAAAAGCCAGCAAAGACCTGAAACAGAACAACCTCGTCCTTCAGCTGATCATTACTGTATATCCAGTTTTCAGCTAATAGCTTTGTGAATGTCACCTTGTTGGCGTTAAAATACTATTTTATGTCAAACTGTGTTGTTTTTAGTCATTTTTATAGATTCAACAAAAAAAAAAAAAAAAGGGAACAAATTGTGTTTTTGTGACAGACTAAAGTAATAGAATGCCTAAAGATCCAATTAAAAACAATTAATGTCAAGTTGTCTGTTATGGGTCGACACACTGGCTCATTCGTTTTTACACATGAATGGTTTAACAATCTGCTTTACAATCTGATTCAACATTCTTCTAAAAACATTAAATCCTGGGGGAAACATGGATGAAAAAAGCAGCCAAGGTTCTAAGAAAACAGAAGAACTATCGATTAAGACTATAAAAAATTAGACAAACTTTCCTTGGAAGTAAACGATAAGACAAGAAGGAATGACTCGAGACTTTTATGGGATGTTTGGAATCTGTCCTGTGTTCGTAATCCTCTTACACAGATGAAGTTGTGTCTTGCTCTAGTCCTCTCAACTTTGTTGTCTTTCTAGCTGAAAAAAAAAAGTTTAATTGTGACCTCATTTTAATTTCATTTTCTCTCTGTAGCATTAACTTTACAACAATGACAGAATATAAAGAATAATATGAAACATCCTCTCATTTTCAGACAGTTTTAAGATTTTAAACTGGTGGTTTAAACTTGTTTGTGTGTGTTTCCAGACATGTCCACGGGGGGGCAGTAGCCACCATGATTGATACAGTAACGGGAACTCATGCTTCCCTACATTGTGCACCAGTCATGACTGCCAACCTTAACGTCAACTACCGCAGGTACAAAACACAAAAACTCAAACTTATCTTCATTAAGAAGGAACACTTGGACTGGATTGCCAGTTTTTAGTTGTTTAATTTAAATGCAAATTAAAATGTAGCACATCCTGATAAAAAAAAAAATCAAGTTTGAAATTGTTAATTTGAATTGCCTGTTCACTTGTGTATTTGTAACATTCATTCAACCTTTACAGTGTAGCTGTAAACGTTCATTGACATCCAAGTGCAGTTTATTACATCTCATTAGTAAAAACATTCAATTATTTTTTTTTATTCATGGTGAAAACAAGCCAAATTGTTATATTGTCATAACAAGCTGTCGTCTTGTCCCAGCCCCATCAAGCTGGGAAGTACTGTCCTGATTGAATCAATTCTGGACAAGCAGGAAGCCAGAAAGACGTTTGTTTCCTGTAAAATAACCAGCTCAGACGGCTCCAAACTGCACACAGAGGCAACGGGTGATGCTCCTTTCTCTTTTTGGACACATCAATGTGAAGTAGTCTCATACCTGCCACCCTACGTTCTGTCTGTATTCTTACTGTCGTCTTTCTTTCTGTTTTATTTTTGTGCAGCCCTGTTTTTGTCAATCAGTGTCAGCCATCTTCTGAAAGGGTGACACCCGCTCCAGCCTGGTGACCTACCGGTACCTCAAACAGCCAAAAGGATCAGAGTGTGAGAGTCTCATTAGTTTGGGTTGTGTACATATTTTCCAGTTCATCTTAAACAAACCTCACTAACTACGACTTTAACATTATGTTACTACTGACATTTTCAAGTCGGACTTTGTTGAGCGTTAGGAACAAACAACTAGTACATATCAAAACTTTATTTATTTGAGTTGATTTTTAGACATTATTTATTTAAACTTTAAGAGTAATAATGCTAGTTTTGCTACACCAGGGCCTTAAAGATTGGAGTGTGATGTTCTCTGTGAGCTAAACAAGTGGCAATAGATACAGCAAGGGTGCCTTTATAAAGGATTTATTCATGCTTTAATAGGGGATTATTAATAAGTTTGTAAACAGTTTGTAAGGCCTTATTAAGCGTTTATAATGCTGGTATAAAACACTGTTCTTGCACTAAAGCAGGCTCACTATTTGCAAAGTTCAAGTACTGTACTTTTATTCATTCAGATAAAAGTCCATTTGTAGCTGTTGCTCAGCCTACATATTCAAACTAAATCACTTTAAATGTCTAAAGTAAATTTTTATGTACAAAAGCTAATAGAGCTTGCTGATAAATATCAGAAATAAGAAAGTAAACATTGAAGAGTAGAGGAAAACATTGAGGATGGAGAGTACAGATAAATGAGTCAAGTATGGGTCAGTGTTGAACTTTTTATTTAACACTCGGGAACTGCTTAATAAAGGTTAATGAAGTATTTGCAGAATGATTAATAACTGTGTTATGAACAGTTTTTGTTCAAGATATGCTTTTAAAAAGCACAGCTTGAATTATTTGAGATATTGGAACTTGTGCACACGCTTTGCACAGTTTGGGCTTACCGTATTTTTCAGACTATAAGGCGCATTAAGCAAAACAAAACAGTCAGATAAGTCAAACTTTATTCAACTCATTCACAATAACTCAACATTGTTCAGTTGTACCACATAAAACCGGTTCTAGGTTAGTGAGCACAACCAGAATAAATACATAAGGCGCACCTGATTATAAGGCAAACTGTCAAATTTTGAGAAAATTAAAGGATTTTAAGTGCGCCTTATAATCCAAAAGATACGGTAATCACTTTGTTGTTAAAAGTGCACCAGGATGCACTGGCAATGTGTTGGGGAATGTTAAAAGGTGTAAATCAAGACATAATGCCATTCCAGTGTGGTTAAAAGAAGCAAAGGCAGCGTCTAACTTTTGTTACTTCAGCCAATAAAGGCCAAGTTGCGTGCGTCTTGTTTTACACGTCTTCCACGCGTCAGTTCTGATTTTCAGGTGTGGGCTGTTCGCAGTTACTCCACCGTGCGGTGGCTGTGGTTGTATTTACACAAGAGCAGATTTTCACGCAGCAAACATATTTTGACCTACGGTGGAGAAACGGCAACTTCAAAACAGCAGATCGTCACGTCTGCGATCGTCATTCACTCTTTGAGCGCTTTGAACACGTTTTTCTGCATTTAGAAACGACTGCGGCATCCTGCTGCAGTGCACAAGAAATAAGTAAGGCAGTCCACATCACAGGGACCTGCGCTGCTCCGGCATCCACTCAGACCACGATGCTAAGAACGAGCGCTTGTTGTCTTTGCTCTGTTTACATTAGACTTTCAACGGAGCAGCGTGCTTATTCTCGCTTCATGCAACACCTGTCTGCTGTTTGCAACGCCCAAAAACGTCCCATAAATTTGAGCATTCTCTGTATTTTAACAGGACAGAGATTTTTAACATTTATTTGTTTTATTAATGAGGACTTAATATCCTAATTTGCTGTTAAGTTTATTTTGTTGTTTTGTTTTTCACACACCTTTTTTCTTTTTTTTTTCTGCTTCGTCAAATGTTGATATTCATCAAAGCTGACCGTTCTGCTGCGTTAAAGGATCAAAATAAAATATGTTGTCATAGTTTGTGTTGTTGCTTTCAGCTTGTCTTAGTCAACTTATGTTATTTAAATAAAACTATTTATTTGACGTTAATCCCTACAACATTTAATAATACATTTTTATGTTCTTTTTTTAATCACACGACCTCAAATTGGAGATTAAAAATAATTCTGCATTCGTGGTATGAGTCTTTGTTTAGCAATTAATGGTCACAACCATATCGGCTCTGAGCTTTTTTCACTATATTTAAACACCAGATCTTCCACATTTTGGTCTGAAGTGTGGTTTTTCAGTATATGGGTTCCTCAGCGTGCATGCCTGCCCTCTGGTTTTCTGAGGGGCCCCTCACGTCTTTAAAAGCCTACGAATGGAAATGCTACGTCGCTTTTCAGAGCCGTTCTGATGCGTGTAAGTGCAGGACAAAATGAAGACGAGCATTTCTTTTCTCCTTCCAGTCTCATGTGGTCAAGTTGGGTTTGAGGAAGCGGGTGAGGGGCGCTTTATTTTTCGCTTTCAGTTAAACCACCTGCAGCAAGCCCTGTCCACTGCAGCCTTTCAGGCCTCGTCATCGGTGCGAGACGGCTTCGTTTCACAATCCCAAATCTCACCAGCACGCTTTTGGCAGAACAGCCACTGCTTTTACTTTCCTGTTTGTAAAAATAATATTACTGAACTGTAATTAAATGGGCACCTTCTTGCTTCTTGGCTAATTGATTTAGATATAAATCTTTTTCAAAATTGAAAACGCTAGAAAAATATAAAACATACCATTTATGTGCATGAGTTTGAGCAAAACTCTCCAAGTTTACACTTTTGTTTGGGGAAGTATATAATGGAGTAACAATTAACCTGCAGCACCGTTACAGGAAGAGCTGAACAAAGCAGTGGGAACACGTTTTAGTTGCTGATGTGTGAATTTATATGACCTTAAACACCCATTTGCAAAATTATGATTATTTGCCAACACATATTCTCTTAACATGAACATGGACGCTAAAATATGCTGTAACAAACGATAAATAAAGAAAAGCACATGATGCTATTCTGCTTACTTTTTTGTGGTTTTCAAACAGTTGTAAAATTTTTGCAAAAGCATCAAAATATTACTGATATTTAAACCCAGGCAGTACTAAATACATATTTTAAGTTACATTTTTAACTGTGTTTTGGGGTATCCATGACCTGTGCTGCAGCACCCGCTGCACCCCTACTTCCCACCCTCTTGAATCTGCACTTCTTCGGAAAGTGACATAAAAGTGAAATTTTAGGGTTACCGAAGCCAAAAAGACTGTTTTTAATTTCTTGCTGACTTTGTTTTTGCAGCTTGCATAGTATTTTTGTTTAATTTGACCTTGAGCTCAGTGAAACTCAAGTCAAGCTGGAAGCAGCTGAGAGGAGAGAGGGGCGTTCGTAAACTGACAACTGTCGTTTTGAGCAAAGTCAAGAAACTGACATTCTGTCCATTTATGGCTAAATCTAAAGTTCAAACAAACATATTGAACAATTATGCTTAACTTGCTTTTGTGAGGGTCTACTTGTATTTTGATGGAAATTCCATATATTTTTTAGTTAAATTAGATTAAAATTGAGAGCTCAAATCTATTTAATTTATAGTATTGAGTTAAATTAGATTAAAATTGAGAGCTCAAATCTATTTAACTTATAGTATTGGTACTGGTAGCTCCTGAGGTACCAAATATTAATGAGTGTGCTCAGTGTTATTTGTCCTGGATGAAGTATTTTGTCAGGAAAAACACAAAGATGCAGACATTGTAACCTGTGAGTCCATACACACCCAAAACTGCTGGGTTACTTTGATAACTACTGTTAAATCATTTGATGCATTAATTGGCTGATTGTTTGACCCAGTTGTTGGATTGGACACAAGTGGTGTCTTTGATCATGGTCCACCATCTTGAGAAAAATAAAATCAAACCTGACTGGACCTCTGCTTTGGGATGTAGACGGTTGTAAGAAAACATTTAGCCTGGTTGGCTTTGTTAGGAACTTGAGTTTCCACTAGACGGCATGTTTTGTTTCCTAAAAGATCAATGGTTGGTTCTAGCTGGCTGATAATAGTGGTTACTACCAACCAAAGTTGTTAACGTTCTCAAAATGAATTAAAAAAACACTCACTGGTCATCAGGGCGGTGCAGAGAGAGGGGTGTTTCATGTCCAGATAACGTTTAGCGGTGAGTCGGTATTTGCACCAAAAGTAATATGATGAAGGAAACGATAAACATCCAAACATAAAGAAGTCCATGTTGAAGAGTCCAAAACAAGAATCAGTGACAAGTTCTGCTTTTTCAGGAATTCAGTTAGTGCTTTGCTCTTTTAGCCAGACTTATACTATTTTTAGTTTTACCTAGCTTTTTGCTAATTTTAGCTTTGGGGTGGGCTTTTAGTTAGCATTTTGTTTCTTTTATCTTTTAGCTATTGTTTTGGCCCTTGCTACTTATAGTTTTAGCTAACCTTTTGTTACTTTTAGCTTCTAATGCTTTGCTACCTTTTGCTACTTTTTGTTTTATCTATCTTTTTCTACTTTTTTATAGCTTTTTCTACCTTTATGTAGTGTTTTGCTTCAATTTATTTTGTTTCTTTGATCTTTTAACTATAGCCTTTTGCTACTTTAAGCCTTTAGCTAGTATTTTGCTACTTTTAGCCAACATTCTGCAACTTTTAGCTAGCATTTAGCTTTTTACGTTTAGCTTTGAGATGGCATTTTGCTACTTTTAGCTTTTACGTAGCCTTTCACATTCCTTTATTTAACTAGCATTTTGTTTTTTTTATAATTTAAGCTAGCGTTTCCTCCTTTTAATTTGTCTTTTGTTGGGATTTTGCTATTTTGTTACTTTTTGCTCTAGCAAGTGCTTTGCTACTTTTAATTAGCATTCTGATACTTTTAGCTTCTGGCTAGTGCTTGACTATTTTTAGCTAGCATTCTGCTATGTTTAGCTGCTATTTTGCTACTTTCATCTTTTAGGTATAGCCTTTCACTTTCCTTTATTTAGCTATTTTGTTTCTTCATAATTTAAGCTAGTGTTTTGCTCCTTTTAACAAGCATTTTTTTTTTAGGTTTTTGGTATTTTGTTTATACCTGCACTTAAAAATAAAATGTGTTCTACTTTCAAAGACTAACCCATTTATTTCAATGGATATTTTAGCACCTAACAGCTTTTGGGTTTGGAACATGTGTAATCCAACACAATGGTCATTTCAACCCAGAAAACAGAGAAAGCAGACAGAAAACTCTGTGCGTCAAGTTCAAACATCCAGGCTTGGTTCAGTCCAAAGCAGTTTTTACTGCGTAAACTTGGAACTGATGCTTGTTCGTGTCTTAGATAAACACTTGGTGTAAACCGAGAAGACGTATCGATTATTCATCGTTTTCCTTTGTGTGCGTCTTCAGCCGATGTGGCCTGGAACCATCAATAAGGTGAGAGCCGCTTGGCGCGTCACGCAGGTGGTTCCGTGACAGACCCGCCACGCCACAGTGCGGGACAATGACGGGCACTCATCAGGTCCACGCTGTAGTTTTCTCGATTAGCGCGCGGACATTTGTGGCAGCAACACGGGATTATATTTCTCAACAGAGCACTTCAAAGCAAACCCGATCCGCCGCTGTTGCGTAACAGCCGGTGACATAACTCCAGCCCGGGACGGTCAGCGCGCGCAGGGGTGGGGGTGGGGGGGTGTCACAGCCACACGGCTCGGCCCAGTCCAGCTGAGCACTCTCTGCAGCCATTACTGGGAGATAATGGCTGAGCAGTGAGGCTCGAGGAGGAGAAGATGGCTGTGCATGTTTTTAAATGCCTGCGCCGACCCGGGCGCTAGGACCTCCAACAGGTAGCCATTTTTACTTTGTAAACTTTACTGCTGTCGACTGAGGCAGGTGGAGTTCGATGTGGCTGACACGTGCGGCTCTGTTTGTATGTGAGGTGTGTGTGTGCGTGTGCCAGGACCACCCAGGGTGTGTGTTCTTGACAGGAGCGTTATGGAATATGAGGAGCCCGAACTGCTCACAGCTGACACCCCAAGGAAAAAAGGTAAACTCGTAGTCATAATAAGAAAAGACTGCAACAACTTACAGCTAAAAGTGCACTTCATCTTTTCTTGTGGTGCATTTTTATATTTGCACACAAAAAAAAAGTGCATGCCACCAGGTGACACCCCCCCCCCCCCCCCCACACACACACACACACACCCACACACACACTCTTTATCTCATGCTCACCTTCCTTGATGAATCTTTACCCCAGTGACCTTCCTCATCCCTTTTGGCGCAGTGTTGTAAGGCGATGTGAGTGAATGGCACTAAGACGAAATAATCCACCAGGATTAGCTCTTATTTCTGTTTCTGGCCAACGCTTTTTCTATTCAGAGCTTCTCCCTGACTTTCATCATCATGGCCAGCTTGTCCTTCTGCCACAGAAACCCACTGCACACTCACCAAGCTGGCAAACTTGATGAGAATATTTATTTAAACTCGAATGAACGACGGATTAATAAAGTCAAAGTTCAGAGGTTCTCCTTTTATTCCATGCTCTTGTGATTTTAAATGCAGCTGAAGCATCACAGTTGCTTAGTGAAATGAAAGTTTTAATATAAAGATAATCTTGTCTTTAAAGATTACATGCGGTATCTTTCTTTAAACAGGCCGAAGGATACCACAGATAATCTCTAAAGTTACTGTCAACAGGTTCAATCTGAAGACGACACGTTTATCACAAAGACCACAACAGCAGTCGTTTCTGTGCTCCGTGCAGAAAATGCTCTTTGATTAGATGGTTTATTCTTATTAAAATGATTGATTAATTGTCAGAAAGGCAAAGGAAAATCACAAGAAGATGGTTAATGAAAACACCACAGTGCCATGTGGCCAAGCAGCAGTGGAAAAAGACAGTTTTAACAAGATTAAAGCTGCTTTAGTGGAAACAAAATGTTAAAACTGGACGTTAAGGGGCTTAAGGACTTTGAGTAAAACGGCATCAGCTTACGAGTCAGGTCCCGGAGCTTGTTTTTTTTTTTTTCTTTCACGTTGAAGTAAAGATTGTGTGTGTTTGAACACTTTATGTTGAGTTTCATGCTGCTGAGCTGGCGTTTCTTCGACTCATGAGCTCGTTGGGGTTTTGTGGGTGTCTTCTCATTTCTCTAAAGGCAAGATGGTTTTTTGGTGGCGGCTGCTCTGATATGCCTACAACTCGTTTGTCGATCATTCTGCAGCCAGCAATACGATTCATTTAGGAGGTTATCGTTGCAGCAGTGACACGAACGTTTGTTTTTAGGTGAACTTACCTTTTAATGGCTCTGTTGTGTAAAATAAATGAAAAATATATTTGCTAAAAATACACAAAGCTGAAAAAGCAGATGTTCCAACGATTACTTGAAAATAATTTGATAGATCTATACACTTGATTTCTTTATATTATTGGGAACTGCCTAAGGCAGCCACCTATTATTATCCACCTGATGAGGGTTTCATAACTTTAGATCTTACTCTTTCGTCAACTTTAATGCAGCCTGAACTGCAATGTGCACCCCCACAAATGTTATATAAAAACGACTGACTCGGCACCGTAATGTGCGCTCTTTTATTGGCGTTTAGAGATACCATGGCGACATAATTTGGTAACAAATACGCCATTTTCATTAGTCATTTTTCATAGACTCTGCAAATCAAATATCCAAGATGGCCACCTGAGCTAAAAAGGAAAATAAACACTGTAAATCAGCCATTTGTAGAAGATATTGACCTGAAATTTGGTGTGGTAGTAGCTGAGAACAATGCCCAATAAATAACAAATTAAAAAAATTCAAGATGGCCTCCAAAGCTCAATTTAAATGGCTTTAACTCAGCTAGTTTTACACAGAGCTGGTTATAGCCGAGAACCTTCTCCATATTGAATCCAAATCAAAAATCCAACATGGCTACTATAGCTTAAAAGAAAAAATGACTAACTTGTTGATATTTTGCCATTTTAAGCTGAAATTTGGTATAGTGGTAGCTGAGCGCGAACCCCAACACATAGTACTGTCAATCAAAATTTAAAAATGGCTGCCACGTGGCAGTCCCTGTCAAAATTTCTCCAGGAACTTTCTAGTTAGATTACGCAATTTAGTAAATTAGACTTGCCATTATTTACATATCTATTTACTCGTTGTTTTTTAGTGCATCACTTCTGAGCTGCAGCGTCACTAACCTCAGGATTAGCTCCAAAGATGTGGTGCTAATTCCACTTGTTGGTCAACAATCCACTCTAATCCTGATCAGCAACTAAATTATCCTCACCAGATCTGCATATAACTGAGCTGAACCTCATCAGACACAGGCAGAATAATTCATGTGTTTACACTCAGGCAAAGTTTTCAGCCTCCTCTCAGGGCTGGTCTTCGGTGCCGTTATGTAACGCAGCAACTGTCATCCAGCGGTTCAGATGTCAGAGTGCAGACAGGTCGGTGAGATTTGTTGTTGTTTGTTTGTTGTTTGTGCCTCGTTAAAGCAGCAGGTTCCTGCGGGGCTGTTTCTAAGCAGCCTGAGAGGTGTGTCACATTTCGTTTGTACAGAAACAGATTTTTGTGATCTTTGTTTCCACCTCACAGCTGAGAAAAAAAAGTATTTCCACTATGCTTAATATTATTTTATTGAAATAAGTGGCACTTTTATTGCAATAAAGCAATTCAAAGTGCGTTCACTTGTCCCGTCGGGCACAAAAGAAACACAGTATGTTCATTTAAAACCCAACGAAAGCATCATTTGGTATTTCAAAGCGAGACTTTTCTTAAAGATGTGACGAGTGTGGCTGAAACTAAACCCTTCCAGTTGTTCACTGTTTATTTAGCTAACACACTAAAGCACCTGCACTTCTGGTGCGTTCTTTTTGTAATTTTTTCCGTGCGTGCGCTGCTCTGCTTTCATTCCACACTTACTGCTTATGAAGCAAAACTGATTTGATGAGGGCAAGAAAACAGAGGAAACCACAGAGGGCCTGAACTGGCGCCAGACAAAGGCCGGCAAGCTTCTACGCCTTCCATTGATACTTATCTGCTCTCTACCTTTATGCTTCTCTCTCACACACACACACACGCACGCACGCACGCACGCACGCACGCACGCACGCACACACACACACACACACACACAACCCCAGAAATAAACTGCCTGGCTCAGAGACGACCCTCTCTCACACCTACTCCAATTCAGATTCTCACAATTGCGGTCAAACAGGCAGACAAAACAAAACAAAAAAAGAAACGATAAAAAAACAGGACCAATTGCTTCACTGACGCCCACCTTCCTCTGGTTTGAACTCCCGTGTTTAACTGCTCTGAAAACTCACACAAGTCACGCCGGTGTGAACAGCAATATTCAAATTTACCTCCTTATCTAAGAATCTTGTCTGTCTGTCTGCCAATGCAGAAAAAAAAAGTGTTCAGCAAAACCTTTTCATCAAACAGGCATTAGACTTCAGCGTCATTCATGTTTATTATTGCTTTGTTAACGTGAAGGCTTTAAAGCAGAGTTTTTGAAATTCATACATGTTAGATGAGAGGTCTAACATGTCTGGAACATGAACAAATAAATAATGTTGCTTCTGCACGTCACAGTTGCAGATTTTTTTCAGTACGATAAGATAGAACTTTATTGATCCTGCAGGAACTTGCTGATGTCATCATTTGTTGGACTGTTCAGCAGCAGTTTGTAGATTGTATACTTCTGCAGAAAAACACAATCTCAAAAATATTCATAAACTTTAAAGAAAAATTACACGGTCCTTACATGTGGGAAAAATCACCTATTTTTATCTGCAGAAGTGAAAATTGACATGCGAAATGCACGTTTTGAGCATTTTCTACTTGTTTAAGTTCAAGGTTCTTTATTATCTTTACCATCACATGTGGTACACGAGGTGGAACGAAGTTGTGTACTCAAGATCCCAGTTACACCCCAAAATATCAAAAATATAAAGTATGCAAAGAAACGATATCGAAGGATTTAAGATATACACTAAGATGTACGCTAAACACTACTGTAAAATAATACGGTATATTGAACAGCAGCCCGAACATGTGATCACATGGTTTTCCTTGTGGAAGTTAAAAGTTAAAAGCATGGTAAATTAAAGTGCTTTTTTTGTAGGAGAAATCTTTTTTTGTTTGTTTCCCCAAAAAGGAGAAGCATTCTCTTTATTGTTAAGGATTCAAATAACAAAAAATAAATAAATAAAAGCAACAAATCAATAAAAAGGAACAGTCTAGACGACCTGACTTAACTCTGTTGGATTTTCTACCTGGATTATTGAGCATGAACTTTGATGTTTTGAACCACTTTGACCGTGGCTACTTCAGACGAGTCGATGGGGGAGAGGGCGGTCTCTAAACCATCTTGTCCCTGTTTTTTTGTGATTTTATGTCGCCATCATTGTCGCTGCTGCAACCCTGTTCATTCTCTGCTGTCGTAGAGTTTCTGGTAATTTTCTGGCTGTTTTTTAATATCCTAACTAAGATGTTGATTAGGACGAGAGCACTCTTTGAATATAGTGGAGTCAATTCAAACAGACACTCCAATAAACAGCACGTAAATGCAGCAAGTTACTTAAATCTAAACAGATCGAAGTTTAACTTGTGAAGTTTGGTTTAGTTCGGCTCTGAAACAGTTCGGCAGCTCATGTTTGGACCGGCTTGTTAAATCGCTTTGTAATAAATAAAATATTTATTTTTATTCTTTATTTTCCAGGAGGCGTCGTGTCCAAGAAGACCCATTTAAGTAAGTTGTCTGAACACGCACAGTCTCTTTTCTTGCATGTGTGCCTTTTGCACACGGTAATGACATTGCTTATGTTTGTGCTAGATATTTGTGCATGCACTGTGGTTAGCATCATAGTTAGCGAACATGCAACAACGCACCTGTACAGAAACACACACAAACATTGGTGTCACTGGGATTGGGCTAATAGAAAACACTGTGGGGGGCTCTGTTGCACCTGTGCTAGCCCCCCTTTCTCACACATGGATACATTTACACAAAAACACACGCGCCAACGCCAGCTTCTTTGGCATCTGAATGCAGATGAGAGATAACATCAAGGCTTTTTTTAAGCTTTTTTGGTTTAACATTTTCTGCCACCACTTTAGCACACCTGGTCATGCTATCAAGTGTGGGACGCTCTGTGTGACACAACTTTTATATAAAGTGGTGTGCAGATAAGCAAACAGGGGCTTGAGTGATCATAGTAGAGAATAAACAAATAAAAAACCACAAGAAGAAGGGTAATATGGATTTTTGCTTTTGGAGTTTTGTCGTCTTGATGGTCTCGTGTGGTTTTGTTCATCAGTCGGGGGCTTTGATCGAAGCAATGACGGTGAATAAACACGCACACATAAAAAGGGATAGCAATACAGTATTTGTACTTAACTGTACCTTTAAATTAATTTCTTCTGCTTTTTCACCTTTTTGCATCATGTTTTATTCCAAAATTACTTTTAAAATGAAGATTGTGCATCTAATCTACGTGACCGTTTTGTTAAGTTTATTCTGTTAGCACAAATTAAATTCCCTAACAGTTGAGCTGTCAGTATGAAAATACTGTCTCCAAACAAAAATCCAGTAATTTGTTATAACTTTCCTTCTTCTGACTGTTCGTCTTTATCAGAACTTTGAAGTGAGTTTCACTAGGCTTCTGAACAATAAACATCTTACCTGTTATCAATAGTTACTGGTAGTGATGCACGATATTCGTTTTTTTGGCCGATATCCATCCATCCATCCATTATCTTTACCCGTTTATTCCATTTTTGGGTCACGGGGGTCGCCGGTGCCCATGTCCAGCAATCACTGTGCGAGGGGCGGGGTACACTCTGGACAGGTCGCAAGTCCATCACAGGGCCACACAGAGACAAACGAGACAAACAACCATTCACTCTCTCACTCACACCTAGGGACAATTTAGAGTCACCAATCAGACTAACATGCATGTTTTTGGTCTGTGGGAGGAAACCGGAGTACCCGGAGAAAACCCACGCATGCACGGAGAGAACATGCAAACTCCACCCAGAAAGGCCCCTGGACCGGGGTTTGAACCAAGGACCTGCTCGCTGAGAGGCAGCAGCTCTACCAGTTGCGCCACCGTGCTGCCCTGGCCGATATCCGATATGTTAAAACTTTTTTGGCTGACAACCGATACCAGTACCGATATTTTATTTCCTAGACCTACTTACAGAGACTACATAGCTTTCTCTGCTGTGGAATTAAAATACTACATTATTCCGCATGATCTTTGTCAATTTGGCCTGCTACCAAATGCAGATGCCAAAAAGGGGACTGAAAATGATGTAACACTTCAACTTGAACTATGTTAAATGTCAATTTTACTCATGTCATTTACTCTCTCAAAAACAATGACAACACTTGAACAGTCATACAAAAACAGCACCTTATATATTGGTGAGTTATTTTGATGGAATTGCCGATGTCCGATATTTAACTTTAACGCTAATATCAACCGATACCAATACCATGCTGATAATATTGTGCTTCCATAGTTACTGGGATGACCTCAGTTTAGAGAAATAATTTAACTCTGACTGATTGATCAGCTAACGGCTAAACAGGGACGATACCAAATTGGAATGCGGCTGTGGTACTAAAAACCTCAAAATGTTCACAGCGTTTCTTAACACCCTTTTGTAAAGTGGCATTAGTTTTGCATTCCGTGGTTGTTCCAGCAGAAATGTTTTTATATTCATGTAGGAATTGTCCCACGCTGCACCGTGAGCGCTGAAGCTAGCTACTGAAGCTAGCTGCTCCTGCTGCTGCTGCCAGTGTCATGTAAAAACATGTACAGTAATGTGAAATGGATAAAAATGTAAACGTTTCGAAATAGTTTTTGCATTGTCATTAAACGTTTAAAATTGGAGCTGCTTTATGACAGAAGCAGTCTGTTTTGGTTTTAGCCCTCCTCTGACTAGCTGTGTTAGCTTGTCAGTCTGTTAAACTTTATTTCTCCAATCAGAGGTCATTTAAACTGGAAGACATTAAAGAAAAACTTTGACCACTTCAAGGCAGGTTTATACGTAATTAAAAAATGTATATAATTAGTGTCTTACCTGGTGTAGATGGACAGTTTGGAGGAATATCTGACTGGACCAATGAGCTAATGGCTAGCTTGAATGTAGCTAAGGCTAACATAAAATTCTGCAAAGATTTTTATGAAAACTTATTTCATCAGTATTATCCCTGATATAAATTTTGTATTACACCATCTGTTACATATAAGGGGGAGTGGAGGTGCAGAGGTTGTGATCGGAAGGTTGCCGGTTCAACTCCCCAGACCGACTACAAAAATATGGGTGGGAAAGTGAAGCACCCTGCCTCCACCCTCATTTGCCCCACTCTAGGCCCTTTAGCAAGGCCCTTAACCCCCCAATAGTTCAGTGGGCTCTTTAGATAGCAGCCCTCTGCTCCACATGTTGAGGGGAAAAATGCAGATAATTAATTTCCCCTTTGGGCATTAATAGTGCAATATTTATATTTATTTATGGAATTATATAGTTATCGTGGCATCATTAGCACCAGCAATAGCAACATGCAGCATCTTTGAGGCTTCCAGATATTTCTATGACAATAACAGTAATGTGAAACTGACGACATGGTAAAATTTGAATTAATAACTTTTGCATAAACTGTTGTGAAATCATGAAGATTGGAGCGGTTTCAGGGTGGCAAAATCTGCTTCGCACGTGGGTCCATTAGAACTACCGGTAGCCATTTTTATCTGGTCAGTGCAGTCCGGCAGAACTGATCCGTGGTCTGTGTTTTCACACACATTGTTGTAAAAGTTAAATCTTAATCAGTGAAAGAATGTAGCAGAAAAGTAAGGTGCTTAAAGTTGCAGCATATAGAAGCTAAGCCCTTAACTTATAAGCTAATAACTAATAAATACACCAAACCTGAACAAGAAACAAACATTAAACTGAAATCTGTCACGTTTAAGACGAAACTTTTAGGTAACTTCCATCTTTAGATGTCATCTTCCATTCTTGTTAACAGGTTCAATTTTTTATTCTCATGGAGATTTTTTATTTTTTTTGTCTCTGATGTGTGTTTTAGAGTGAGGGGGTGCAGGATAACAACAAAGGTATGAGGAAAAAAGTACCTTGAGAAAAAAAAAAGACAACGCATGGGACAGTCCCCCTCTCTTTGTCTCATTTCTTTCTCTCACACGCACGAGCTTGAGGAAGGTGAGGCGGCGACTGTCACTCAAAACTCTGAATATGTGCGTCGAGGCTGCAGTGAGCACCTGACCCCGCTCTACAAAGGACGAACTAAAGAAAAACAAAGTCAGAGTAAAAGATACTATCAGGGTTTAAAAAAAATACTACAAAACAGGTGATAGACAGTAGTCGTGCAAAAGGAGAGGAAAAGACGAGTTTGTGAAAGTGGGACAGACCCCTAAGACGTGGAGGAGTGAGGATGATGCGAGGTAGGGATGAAGATCTTCGGTCCGTGTGTGTGTGTGTGTGTGTGTGTGTGTGTGTGTGTGTGTGTGTGTG